ATGACATATTTTGCCTTGGAGTTATTCCCCTTAGCCGCCATATTGTAGGGCAACATTCCCAGATCCCTTCATTATTCAGCCAAGTTCAATTTGTTAAACTGGTTACCAAGGGAAAGATAATGCTATTTTTTTTATAAAGCATCTATTAATTCATGATTATAAGATTGTGAATATTATCCCCATGCATTTCTTCAGACTTGCATGCATGTTTAAAATTGGTTTCTCAAAGAGGTAAATTCACAGGAAAAGGGTTTTTTTCATCTAAATGTTGCCTATTTCCTGTTACAGTTGCAGTGATGTAGATTTCTGCCATTTTCTTGCATTAGAAAAACATAAATTGGAATATCTTTTAGAGGAAGCGAAGGTTTTAAATTTGAGTTTTGTTCTTTTTCCCTTGTCAATCGTTTCGGTGCCCTCCTCCCCCCCCTTTTCGTTTTCCAAAGATATAGTTTAGTCTTTAGAATGTTTATTTTTATAATTACTATGAAAAATCTTAATTTTTGATATTTTTAAGGGAATCAAATCAAAAGATTGAAAATACAAATATCAACAAATGATTATAAAGCTTCACGTTATTTTACGATTTTACCTTATGAAAATTCATGCAGTTACGCACGCGTAAAGTACTCAAAGTAAATATTCCGTCTTTTTCATGCAATATTTTATATATTTATACACGGAAATATATGTCATGTTATATATCAAATGAAAGAGAAAGAAAAACTCTACAAGAATCAATAAAAAACTGAAAATGTCAAAATTCTTTGTTAAGGGAGGTTTTTGCTTGGCGCGTCACATATATTAAAAATAAAAAACATAATTATATATTTTTACAGATTCACTTTATGGAAGTAAATATATTATGTATCTCGTAATTTATAAACGGAAAGAACATTCTGATTAACAATCTTTTCAATGTTTAGAAAACCTTTAATTCTACATAACTAGTCTCACCCCAATCCCCATACACAAACACTTAAACTTATTTGTATAGAGCAGCCCGGTCCTCCGGGCTGCAGTAAAACACGAATCAATACTTAAATTTTGTTATAAATATTAATTTTTTATACACAATTTCTAAGAAGAAAAGATAAGGTTTTGTAAAGCCATATTGATGGACCTGGCCATGTGCTTCCTTTTTTGAAAGGATTTTTATTTTTTATGAAAATTAGAAATCCAGTTTAGATGGGGTTTATCGGAATTAACTACATTTTCACTTGAATGTAAAACTACATGTGATAAACATGCACTGTTACAACGTACTTTGAAAAAATTACGCACTTTGAAAATTTTTTTCAAAGTGTGTTAAATTTGGGACCAAGCTAACGCACTTTGAAAAAATAAAATTTCTTTTCAAAGTGCGTTAATATCGACCTTATTAACGCGCTTTGAAAAAATGTAAAGCATGATGAATATTCTTACAAATAATCTGTATGAGAAATAATTGACTTGGGTTGGATATCTTTTTGGTGATAAGGGCACTTTAGGACCTGAGATATTGAGGTTTTAAATATTTTAGGTTTTGATAAATATTATAAGAGGGAAATGTTTTTTTTAAGACAAAATAGAGAGATGATTGTTTAAAACCATTAATTCGTTCCTTTTTTTTAATTTCTAGTCTGTAATAAGTAGATGTAAGGGGGGGGGTTAAAAGTGAACGACTTAAAGCATAGCATTTATCTTAAGAAAAAGGACAAATGGATTTTTCAAGACTTAAAAAATTCTTTTTCTCTCATGCGTTCTACTGTACTTAAAAATTTCTAGTTTTCATCTGTTTTAAGTTGATTCAATTATTGATAGTTTTCAACGTCATACTGGTAATGTAAAAACATATCCATTGTTTGGGTATAGCATACACGTTCGGCATCGAAACCGGGCGAAGACCAAGGGAAGGGGGGCTTTTGGGGCTTATTATTCCCCTCCACCCGTTTTATTTGTTACCGACGCCTGTGTATTGAAAGAGAAAGAGTTAGGCTGGGATTTTCTACTTTTCTTCTCTTCTCGACGGGAGTAAATCAATTCAAAAGTTTTTTGAAAGGTAAATAACACTGAAATAGTTTTCAAATTGTGTTAAGTGTCTCAATGGTAAAATGTATTGATGTAAACTCTTCACGCACTTTGAAAAAAATTTTCAAAGTGCGTTGAGTACGTCCCAAAGGATCACTTCATTATAAATAGGGATCTGACCTATAGGAACGGGCTTGGTTTTCTTCTCTACAAAAAGCTTGTCGATTTCCGTTCCGATTAATGATATTAGGCCGAATACATTTAACAATTTGTTTTTTCCTAAATATTTATTTCAGTGAGTAGAGGTAGAAGAAACCTTTTCATTGATTTTTTGAGTTTGTTATCTCCAAATGTAATAATTGATATTTGTCTTCATTTCTCATTGTGCATAATGGTAATGTCTACTGTCTCTAAAATTCTACTCTTTATGTCTAGGCTATTTATCCGTGGATATATTAAAAAATGTCATTAATGTGTGCAAATTATATAGGCCTAAATGAAATCCAAGGGAGTACAGTTACTGATATATGTAGCCAAAATCGATGTGATTAAATTCTTAGGAATGTATACAATTGAAATTCGACGCAGCTCAATGCTGTCAAGAATATCTGTATCAAATAACACAGAGTGAGTTACTCTTGTCCTCGGAGAAAGTGTGCTTATACTGAGGTATGTTCCGCCTGACTGACAACTGTACATTTGATTGTTACGATTTGACATCTCTTTAGTTTTTCTTGTATCAAGAATGGGCATACATAAACGATAGATAATTGAAGGAAAATACACAAGTCTATTAAAAAAAATTAAATTGTCTTTAAAAAGGCGAAATTTAAAACTTTAAAAGTGTGGTGCCAGGTGGATTCGAACCCGCGACTTTAAAAAGAAGCATTTCACCGAGTAAAACCAACTCAAATATCAACTGAGCTAGTCCGTCTATGAAATTAAAAGGTCAAAATTTGAAGCAGATTTCCAAAATCAGGTTTTCTAATTTTTTGTAGGTTTTTTGGGAATTTCGACCCTAGGGCAGGGGTGCCCCTAAAAAAATTCTATCTTAAATCATTCCTTACATCATAACCTATCAAAATATCACAATTTTTGTAGGGGCAGGCCTACCCTGAAGGACTTCTATGCAAAAATTCATGCAAAAATCAACGCTTTAATGGACAAAATGGTGTTTCAGTCAACTTTGAAGGTTAATTATAAAGTTGTAAATAATAAATTTTAGGTATAAAATACAAATTTTGAAAATTTAGACATATGTTCGGTAGAAAACAACAAATAAAGCTTAATTATTCACTGACAATTTTTCCGGTAAATTGTTCTCTCCTATAGGTCAATTCTTTTGTTAAAGAGAATACATCCTTTAACGCACTTTGAAAATTTTTTTCAAAATGCTTTGATTTTGTCCCAATTTTAACGCACTTTGAAAAAAATTTTTCAAAGTGTGTAATTTTTTCAAGGTGTGTTGCCACAATGCACTGAAATGTGATTTTGAATAATTTCATCTTTAGAAAGAGAGGTGTGATCGAGTGTACAAGTTTAATTTAGTCAGCCAAAACACGCTCTATTCTACACAATGGTTACTCCATAGTTGGCAGACCAAGGGGGTTGTAAAGTGAACATTATTTTTTTTTTTAACAAATGCTTTTTAAATGTACATGTAGAAGTGTTAAAGATATGAGTATTTTTCTTTTTTAAAATTTAATCTCTAAATCAATTCAATTTGCTATAAAGCAGCACTGAAAGAAAAGTTTAACTTATAGTTAGTTGGTTTAATTAGTTAATAAAGTAAATGAATAAGAGTAAGTTTACTTTTTGATAAAAACGATGAATGCACGAAAAATGTTTAGCGGAAAGTATTTAAAAAGTATCAATAGTAGTTACGTAGTTTTTGCTTAACTAAGGCTGCATTAATATTAAAATGAAACATACAAGATTTCTTAATTTTCCGCTTACGGGCTTCCAGCATGGGTTTTTAAGCGAGGTTGAAATAAGAAATCGTGGCTGGAAAAAATAGGTCTGTGCTTAGAAGCATTGGCGTCGGGACCGGGGGGGGGGGGGGGGGGATAAGCCCCCACTTTATTGCAAATATAAACATAATATAGGCACTGTAAACTAAGGTTTACCTTTTTTTTTGTTGGTTTACTTCCCTTTTCCATTTGCTTCCGACACCTATGAGAAGAATGTGGCTCAAAAATCAAAACATTATTCAATTCATGTAATCTTAGATCCACATTTCACATTTTGAAGTAAAAATGACGTCTCAGAAAGCTTGAGTTGTTTTGATCATTTTTTAAAATAAGTAAAACTTTTCTAAGGTTTTCTAAAATAAGTAAAACTTCAAAAGACAATCTTTAAAATTTCAAAAACGATATTTCCTCTACAAGTTTCTGGACGGATTGTAATGTAATTTTGAATTGATATGTTTCCTTGGTGGTTTATAAATTATACCGATAGTAGTCTACAATATGACAATCATACATTGTGGAATAAAATGTCATTGCAAAAGCTCAAAGGCCTCTTGAGATATTGCACGGAAACAATAAGTGTTAAAACAGACCAATATTTCAATTTATGACCTTGGCCTTTGACCTTTTGACCTCAATTTCAATAGGATTAATTCTTCTCGAGCACTAAGAAGTTCTTGTGTAAAATTTTATTGGAAAGCTCAAAGGCTTCCTGAGATATCGCGCGGAAACAAAAGTGTTAAAACACAGAATTTCTAAATTTATGACCTTGGATTTTGACTTTTTGACCTCAGTTTTTTTTAATAGAGTTCTTTTTCGGACTATAGGAATATGACGGAGTTCTTGTGTAAAATTTCACTGCAGAAGCACAGAGGCTTAGGAACGAAACTGTTACAGAAAGACTAACTTCAATTTCCTAGTTAAAATTTATTTTACACAATCCAGAAGACAAGCACCCGAAATGTATAATTGCAGGATAAAATATTTCATGCCATCGGTGTCCCATAGTAAAGGGAATTCAAACCGAAAGTTACACTGCCACTGGGACTTCAGGAATAAGTGTGTTAAATGGCTGAGTCAAAAAACGAAACCACTGTCGATAACCCTGAGAGTGATCAATGTCATTGTCCGATATGTCTGTCGAAGGTAAAAAATCCGAAATATCTACCGTGTTATCACACATTTTGTGAGTCCTGTATTCAGACTTACATTTCAAGTACGGCGACACATAAGGAGAATGAAACATTAAAATCGATAGAATGTCCAGTGTGTCGAAGATGTATCGAGGCTCCACGGAATGACATTTCAAGTGAAGATTGGGCATCACAATTACCAAAAAATAAACTTCTCTTAACTATATCTGTAGATCCCGGACAAGATGAAAATAAATTATGCATGATTTGCAAACGACTGGAGAAAACTGTACCTGCAAACCACTGGTGTAAAGTTTGTATGGAAGCTATTTGCGAAGATTGCAAATCATTACATAGAGTTGTACAAAGTTTGCAGAATCATAAAGTTATCAGTCTTTTAAATATCAAGGAGCTGAAAAGTGAAGTTGAGATAGAGGAGTTCTGCCTCTTACACAAAGGGAAGGCACTTGATTTGTTTTGCCACGACCATCAAGAGCTATGTTGTAGTCTATGCCTTGTCAAACAGCATAAATGGTGTAAGAATGTTAACTCAGTTGAGGATATAGCTCTGGAGATTGACCGAGATGGAATTCAAAAGACTGCTTTAAGATATATCGGTTTGGAGAAAACTGTTAACGATATTCTATCAGAAAACCTGAAAAAAGTATCAAAACTTCACTCCAGGAAGCAAGAAATCTGTAAGGTCACTGAAGAGAAAGTTCAAGAAATCAAATCATTATTGGACAATGCACATGCCATGTGGCTGAAACGCTTTGAACAGAATCACGCAGACTCCGTTGGAAACATTGAAATTGCTTCTGAGGAGTTGAGACGATTTTCCACTACAGTACATGAAGCAAGAACAATGTTACAATCAGTGTTGAAGAATGGGTCTTCTAAACAATTGTTTGTTACAAATTATAGATTACAAAATCAGATATCTGACCACATCAATCGTTTGAAGTCTTTGGATGTTTGGAATTTCTCGGAGGATTATAAGCAACACAGCTCAGATTTTCTGAATCAAATTTCTAAAGCAAACAAATTTGAAGACGTAGTGTTGTCTAAATTACAATCTACGGCATTGAAGAGAATTTTATTAGACGCTCCAGACAAAGATGATATATTAAAAAAAAGACAAATCATGTCTCAAAAGGACTGGATGAAAGTCACATTTAAGAAAGTATCACAGATTACCGGTTTCGCAGAAAGAGTTTATTATGGCTTATTTACACATGACACAAGAATTATTATCTTTTACTAACCCACCTTCGCTAAAGATTTTCGACATCAGTACGTTCACAGGGAAATGCGTTCACACTGAGAAGTGTCAAGACAAACCATACGGCCTGTGTCACGCCGGATTGAGCTTGAATGAAATTTATGTTTCTTTTGAAAACTTTATAAATCATTATCGAATTAATGTCGCAGAAACTATGACATTCACAAAGCTTAAAACCATCCAACTGGAAGAACCCATGTTGGCAATTTCACGGGGTCCAACAACAGCTTTTGCCGCCAATCGTTCAAAAAGAATGATGTGTTCTTTGGACTTTTGTGTTATCCATAGTTCTGCGTATGAACTGCGAGGGAAATCACCTTTTGTTTCCTCATCGCTGATAACAGGTCATCATTGTTTTGTAAAAGATGGGAAAGTAGTGACTGTGGATGAGAAAAACACAGAGATTTCGCAGCGTACTAAGCATGAAAATCTTCGTGGTCTCACATTTGACTTAGAGGATAATACTTTGGTTTGTCATTTTTTGACAACTAACCTTAAACAGTTTGAACACGGAGGAAGCGACGGGAGAGATATCAATTTGGGAGACACGTTGAATCCATATAACATTGCTCTTCATCCAGCAGGAGAAAAGATTCTGATTTTAGACTATAATGAAAAATGCTATGTTTACCAAGTATGCTAGAAATGGTTGATATGTGCATTGTTAGAATTGGAAAAGGTCGATGTGAATAAAATGAAGGTACATGCATATTAAATGAGGATAAATACACTATACAAATAATCCATGGCTTAATGTTGCAAAGAAGTTGCATAAATACAATTTTACATGTATATATAGTAGACCATAATGAGTTTTTAAAATCATTGACAGCTGCTTTTTAGATAAAAAATGGAACTCCTAAATTTACTAACCTTTTCATTGGTCATTTGGAAAATTATTTAGTTAAATTAAAAAAAAAACATTCTGATTGTACACACAAGCACTCAAAGTTGATAAAAAAAAATGCTTGACTTTCTTTTGTACAATATCTATGTGGTGTTTGGAGACCACATTTTCCAACAATCTATTAGAGTTCCCATCAACATTTTTCAAAACAGAGGGTGACCTTTGAGTACTAAGCTCTTTTACTGTCAAACGTTTCTTTAAAACGGTGTGAACTACTCCTGAAATTATGTCTATAATTTGCTATGTGTCTTAAAGTCAATCATACATCATCAGTGATTATTTGTTAAAATTTGGCAACCAGTACATAAGTTGTTATAATTTCTGTTGGCAAGGACGGTACCCATTTTTGATGTCCATTATATATTTTTTTTTATTTATTGAAATCAACCTGCTCATTTGTCTATAAAACAGACATTGGTTGCTGTAAATTTTACATATTTAGTGAATATTTCTTTGGAATTCTTAACGAGTTTTACAGCAGCTTTAATGAAGCTTTTTTCACTACCATTCATTTTTAATGCAGTTTCTCGAATAGCCCTTGTTTTCCAGCTTCTCACATTGAAACAATGTGATGAAAAGTGGTCACATAAATTGTTATAAATTCATTAAAAATTCAATTATGCGAAAAAGTCAAACTTAATGTCATATGATATCTGTATTGTATGTCATACACTTCAGGACAATATTTATTGAACAGCCCTTGTACAAAAAATTTATTTTCAGGATAATATCCATTTCAATATGACCATTAAACTCTCAGAGAAATTATACATCATGTTTTATTTTCATAATATAGTTTTAAAAAATGTGTTACATTTCATTATTATTAGCAATAACACCGCTTTGTGATTGCCATAGAAATCTTTCATCATTCAAAATTTTGTATAATTCTTGTATATCAGAGCGATAAAGATTTTCTAATATTTTTCTTGTTTTGGGGTACATGGGTGGTTTTCCAATCTTGTCTTTGGTAACATAAACTCTTTCTGATATCGTAATATTCAGTTTTTCTAATTCATCATCAGTCATATCACCTGAAAAATTAACAAATAAAACAATTATAAAAACTTCAAAAATACTTTAAGGACATGTAAAATTATTGTTATGATCAATATATTTTTATACCAAAATATGAAGGTCACAGAATGAAGGGCAAATGATGATGACAGATTTAATGTTGAAAATATTTCTGGTGTTGAAACAAAAATATGCATTAAACACACTTTTTGATTTTAATACTTACGTAGTTTCAGAAATTTGAATACTTTTCTGATAACAGAGGACACATTAGATGAGTAGTCTTCTGTACGTAGAATTAACATCTGATCACGTGGAAATACGGACAGCCATTCTCGTAGATAAACGGCGTAAAATTCTTAATGTATTCTCGTCTGAAAATAGAAAAAAAACAATATTGAAAGGCAATTTTATCATTTTACAACTCTGTTACAGACTTACGAACCTTAAACTTAAATTGGTGTATCTTAGCTACAAAATAATGATACGAAATTAGATATAGATATACGTAGTTATTTCACTTGTTTATGTTCAAATAAAAATTTTCACAAGATTTTGAACTTGAATAATTATAATCTCACGTTTTAATGTAAAATGACCCTAACTTATCTCTTTTTTTTGGAGTCGGTAAATATATCGAATATTGTTTCAAATTTTTGATATGTTTGAAACGCAATTGTTTAAATTGTGCAATTTACAGAAAAGTCATAAAGTAAAAAAAAAAACAAATAGAAATGTCTTCTTAATTATAATTAATGTCTTCTAAAAGTATATTTTTAAAAAATATGCCACATGTACATGGCTTTAAATGTTTTACTTTGTATAAAAGTAAGATCCAAACATTAATGTCTGAGGCACTGAATTCAAATAAAACTTGTTACTTATAAAGTTCATTGGAGGTTATATTGAATCCTTAGCTTAAGAACTATTTTGAAAAGTTATCTTGCTATTGCATTACTTCTTATAATTGCTATTTTGATTTATTTCCCATAAATATGATAAAACACGCATCAAGTTATGGGCCAAAAGAGTGACAACAAATATATATAATTGTGTATAATTACACACAGTAAACTGAAGGGACTGGGATTATTGGACTAATAGCTGTAATTTAAAAGTGACAGTGCCCTTTTTTACAGTCTTTCTTCTATAATCTTTATATAAACTGTCATCCAAATAATGTACTGATTGCAAACTTAAAATCTTAGGATTAAATGTTTGTGGTTTAAGTAGACGCATAAATTATCCAGAATTTTCAACATTTATCTCTTCCTTTGATATATTGTGTTTTACAGAGACAAAAACTGATGATACTACACCGATTGATCACAATTATTTTTTGTTTGATGCTAAAAATAGGCACGGATTTTCAAACAGACGTTCTGGTGGTATTGTAATTGGATACAAAAAATCTATCAAAGATTATGTAACTATCGTTCACACAGATTGTAAATTTGTTCACTGGTTAAGATTAAAATCTTCTTTAATTAATTCAGATAAAGACTTGATTTTAGGTGTTGTTTATATACCACCAGAAAGTTCTATATATAGTTCAAGGGAAGCTTTTGAAGAAATTGAACTTGAATTTTTGAATTTACAGAGTGAATTTAGCCATATATGCCTAATTGGAGATTTTAATGCAAGAACTTCTGATAGAGATGATTTTATTGAACCAGATGACATATCAAATCAAGAATTTGAGTTAGATGATCCCAGTTTAGACTGTCTCTCAAATGTATTTGAATTACAAAAGATAAATGTACCAAGGAAACGAAAATCATTAGATAAAACAAAGAATAATTTTGGAAACAATTTATTAAATTTTTGTAAAAATAACAATATGTATTTATTGAATGGAAGATTAGAAGAGGGTAAATTTACTACAACAAAATCAAGTGTGGTCGATTATTGTATATGTAGTGTTGAATTTTTGAAACATGTGCAAAATTTTTCTGTACTAGAATTCAATAGGTTATATTCTGGTATCCATATGCCACTACTTTGTGAAATAAGTGTGAACTCATATATCTCAAATGATAACTACCAAACTAAAGATGAAAGTAAGAAAAATAAAAATAATTTTTCGTGTCAGAAGATAAAACCATGGGATAATGAAAAAACAGAAGAATTTTGTCAAAATATTGATTTAAATGTTCTAAGAAAATTAAAATATGACTTGAGCAATATTGATATCAATGATTTAAATAAAAACCAGGTTAATGAAATCTTTTCAGACACTGCAGGTCTACTGCTTGACTCGGCACGCACAACTTTTGGAATATTTAATGCTCGCCAAAATCACAATAAACTACCACAGAAAAGAAAAGAATGGTTTGATAAAGAATGCAAAATAGCACAAAAAAATATAGGAAATCAAAACGAATGTTTAGGAAATATCGTTCAAGTATCTTAAAAGAAGAAGTACGTATCAATGAACGTAAATATAAAAATACTATGGATAAAAGTATGAAAAAACATAGAAATTTAATTATGAAAAAAATTAGAAAACTGAGAAGTAACGATCCAAAAAGTTATTGGAAAATAATTAATAAAAGGCCGAACAACAAAAAATGTGATATTAATATTGATGAATTTTACAATTACTTTAAAAACGTCAATAATGGTGAAGTAAATAATGACGAACCACTATCAAATGAGATTAGAAATACATATACTAATGAAGAACTAGACTCAGTGATAACTGAAGATGAGATAAAACACGCAATTGAAAATATTAAAAATAACAAAAGTTCTGGAAGTGATGAAATTTATAATGAATACATAAAATCCTCTGCTAGTATTATGTTACCGGTATATGTTATGTTATTTAATATTGTTTTTAACTCAGCAATTTTACCTGAAGCTTGGATTGTTGGTGATATTTTGCCTATTTATAAAAATAAGGGGAACGACAATGACCCTGAAAATTATAGACCTATAACTTTATTAAGTTGCATGGGTAAATTATTCACATCCATCTTAGCTAAACGATTAAATAATTATGCTGAGCAATATGATATATTAAATGAAAATCAAGGGGGTTTTAGATCAAATTATT